TCAACTGCCTGGCTGACATCAGGGACTGGATGGCTTTAAATTTCTTAAGTTTCAATGAAAAGAAGTCTGAAGTCATGTTGTTCCCTCCCAACGACACGATCACAAACCACTGCATCGACCTTTCCTCTCTAACCCTGTCAGAAAAACAAAGAGTCACTAATCTGGGTGTGATAATGGACCCTTCCCTGAAACTAAACATGATTGTTAAATCATGTTTCTTCCAACTGAGGCGGCTGTCTAAACTGAAGCCCATATTGTCCAAAAAGAACCTGGAGACAGTAATACATGCATTCATTACATCTAGGCTTGATTACTGCAATTCGCTCCTGTTTGGTATCAGTCAGACCTCCATTGCACGTCAACAACTGGTCCAGAATGCAGCAGCCCGATTTTTAACCAGTACAGGCAAAAGAGAGCACATTACACCAGTTTTGGCCTCACTGCACTGGTTACCTGTTCACTTTCGAATCCAGTTCAAAATACTCATGTATGTCTACAAATCACTGAACAGTGTTGCCCCCCCACATCTCTCTGATTTGCTACAACCGTATGTCCCACCACGCTCCCTGAGGTCAGCGACCAGTTGCTCCTCACAGTTCCAGGAACTCGTCCTAAGCGCAGAGGTGACAGGGCCTTCTCTGTAGCAGGACCAAGACTTTGGAACGAGTTACCTCTGCTTGTCAGACAGCCCCCCTCCCTCTCGGTTTTCAAGTCCCGTTTAAAAACTCACTACTATTCAATAGCTTTCAACACAAGATGATCTGTGTTTTGAACCTGTATGCTCTACACTGGTTTGTCATCATTTGTCATCTGCATCGTTTTTTGTCTATATTCTGATTTACCTCATTTTGTATTTTGCTTTGTGTGTTATCTGTTATTTTGTCTGTACAGCACTTTGGTTGGCCTTGTTGCTGTTTTAAGTGCTTTATAAAAAAAAAGTGGTATGGTATTATTGCAGCAACTCCAGAACACACGTTATTTAAGCAAATATATATAGTCCACTTTAAATGCATTCCTCAACCATTAATAGATAGAAAACACATAGATAGAAAATGTCAAGTTGATTACATGTAAGCTATGCAAAAATATATTTAGAATAAATAAAATATCTGCCCCGTGTGAGGCTCGAACTCACGACCTTCAGATTATGAGACTGACGCGCTGCCTACTGCGCCAACGAGGCTTCGATTAAGTTTATCTAACAAACCCTGTTTTGAACATGTTACGTACCGCGTGTGCTGCCATTTCTTTTTGTTTTTATTTTTGTCTGCACACTTTAAAAGCTCCGATAGACACAGAATGAAATGTGGTGTTATCTGCATGTACATTTTTTTCCGCTTAAGTAAAGTATTTTTGACAAAATACCTCATATGGGCGCCGCGACATTTGCTGCGGCCCCTTTAACAGCAATCTCCCGCGTTCTAACAAGCGGAAATAGAATACCTTCTTTTCTCTATTTAAGCGCGCCAACAAAGACAGCTTTTAAGGGGGCTGTTGGTTCGTCGTCTGCAACAAGGTAGGCTTTTAAGTTTTGGGTTAGCTCGCTGTCCTTCGATTAAAATGCCAGAAGAAGCGTCAACCGTGTCTGGGTCTGGGAGGTAAGAACGTTTGGTATTTTTCACTGTTTTCACACAATGTAGACAGGAAAGGCTAACCAGTTAGCTAAAGCGTGCAACGTCGGCACACGATACCTAACTGAATTAAAATAATTCACAACTTTAAAATGCATCGGTATTGTCAGGATCGTAAATTTAAGGTGACCGGATGGTTGATGGTAACTGGCTGTAAACTCGATCATTCACCACCACCCACAATGCTAAGCTAGCAGGCTAACAAGCATGACATGCTAACAACAACAAGGCGCTGCCGTATTATTCCTGTCAGTCCATTAACCCGTTTAGCAGTAGAAGTTTGGTGTTTTGCCTACGTCATCATAAATAGTTTGGTTTTGATTCGTGTTTGAACTCTTGCAGTGAGGAAAAGCCGTGCTCGTCAACAGCTGCAGCAGACAGGTGTAGTTTCAAACTTTTTTTTTTTTGTCCCCCTCTTTTATTACCCAATTCATAATGAAGTCTAAACTGTATTTATTTCTGTGCAGCTCAGCTGATGTGATGGAGGAGGCAAAGAAACTGATCGGAACAGGGAAAAGGCATCTGGTGATGGGGGATGTTGTTTCTGCTGTCAGTGTTTTCCAGGACGCCTGTAGCATGTTGTGAGTCCAGCTGAAAATCATGCACAAAGATCAATTTAAAGTGCCTATTGATTTGTTTTTAGGTTTGAGACTTGTACTTGCATATTTATGTCTGTACATGTAATTTTCTCTTAACTATATAGTTTCTAAACGTTGTGCAGGGCTGCAAAGTTTGGAGACACCGCAGATGAATGTGGTGAGGCCTTTTTCCTGTGTGGGAAGTCCCTGCTGGAGCTTGCAAGGTTTGGGGAACTTTCTCTTCAGACAATGTTAAATGTCTTGTGTCAAAACGATGTTAAAGGCTCCGTGTTATTATGAAGATTTGAATACTTTGCCGTCGTACAACTCAAAGCACTTTTCCAATGTGAATTTGTCCTCCGTTCAATTTTTAATAATGAAATGTGTGGTCAGGATGTAGCCTAACATCACTAGACTTTACATTAAACTCTTTCATGATAAAAGGACAGTCAAATTGTAAATAAAACTTTAAAAATTCAAGCCGTTATTGAAAAATCTTACTACAAACACGTGTTGTGACGTGGTCCATTTGCACTTATCGTAGTTTTCAGAAATCATTGTTTCCTTCAATGTGAGCTCATATTATATAAAGTAGAAGACAAACACTTTGGTGGAATTGTTGATCTCTGACAAATGGGTGGTCAGTGCCGCGGTCCTAAAGTTGCGGGTTTGAGCCCAAGTTGCATCTGGAAAACTAAATTTTCATGAATCATTCACTGTGATGACTCCTGAAGAAGGGAACAGCTGAAGGGAACTAATTATCTTGCAGACAAGACAGAAATAAAGTGGTACTAAAACAGGTTTGCCAGAAGAGCTAGTACAAATAGTAGAAAAGTTTGTATGGGAACTATTTGACTCATTAATAGACATTTTGCATATCTTCTCAAGTATTTCAGTTCTTCCCAGCATGCAATAAAGTGGTGACTGCTTTTGTCTTCATATTTTATTTATTTTTTTAGGATGGAGAATAGCGTCCTTGGTAACGCTCTGGAGGGAGTCCCTGAGGAATCTGAGGAAGAGGAGCAGCCCAATAACGCCAATATTGAGAGTGCAGACAACCTTGATGGTTGGTATAATTATTTCAGGTTTTCAAGTTTTTTTTAATTTTTTTTAATTTTTATTTTTTTAATCAAATTAATAGTTCATTTTTTGCTATAGAATCTAAAATGTCTTGCTGGATTTCGTTATCAGTTTATTTACCCCAACCTCCCATGCAGTTCTGCTTCTATTTTTATTTATTTTTTGTACGTGTGAAAGGTCTCTTAAGAACAACCATGCTCAAAACAAATGTGTTTAGGCTAACGCAGATGCCATAAAGCCGGCCTTTTTTTTAATTTTAAGTACCCATCAAGTAATCTGTTATGTGCCACTCTGGTGCAGAGGAAACTAGAGAAGAGCTTCGGAAGCAGGTCTATGATGCAATGGCAGAAGAGGAAAAGGCAGAGGCAGCTGACGTAACGCTCGGATCAAAAAGTATGATGAGAAACGTTGAGGTGGAAAACGAAAATATCGAGCTGATGGCACCAGTGGAGCAATGTGCGAGTGGATCAGAAGAAGCTTCGAGCTCTCCTTTAAATGTGGAGAAATGCACAAAAGATGCGGAGCAGAAGAGTTCATGCCCAGAAGCTGAGGCGGAGCGTCGCAGTCCTCAATCTGAAGGGGAACCGTTAAGAGGAGAGGATGAAGGTGCTGAAGAGCCCGAGGAGGGAAAAGACGAAACCAAACCAGAAACTGACGAAGGCGAGGACAAGTCTGAGGGTAGTACATGATCGGAGACTTAAGCACTGGTGTCGATGGGACGGCAGATTGGTTTTATAAACTTTAAACGCACATTAATGCATGTCACAGGAGTAAAGGAGAAACACGGATGTAAAGTGCACTAATGTATTTTTTTTAATTTTTTTTTATTAAACTTTCCTCTAGTTTCTCATTTCACTTGATGATTACTGGTATGCCTCCATGTTTGTTTAGTAATTTTTTGTTTTTTGTCATCCTCCCCCATCAGATGATGACGATGACGATGATGATGATGATGAGGAGGAAGGAGAGAAAAATGCTCAAGATAATGTAAGTTTCAATAATAACTGGTTTTGACTATAGTGTGTGTGTGTGTTACACATATTATACATTAACTCCATCCCCAAGGAAGAAGATGATGTAGGAAATCTGCAGTTGGCATGGGAGATGCTGGAGGTTGCCAAAGTCATTTTCACAAGGTACAGGGGAACATTTCTGACACTGTTCTGATCCGGCGTCTCCATCTTTGTCCATTCATTATTGTCCCTTTGTCTCTGCAGGAAGGAAAGCAAGGAAGAACAACTGATGGCAGCTCAGGCTTATCTGAAACTTGGAGAAGTCGGTGCCGAGTCGGGTAGGGTGCACAAGGTTGAGTTTCTGCCGCAGACTCGTCTGTGCACACTGTCCAAATCTACAGTAATCTCTCTTTAATTCCCAGGTAACTATCCGCAGGCGCTGGACGACTTCCAGGAGTGTCTTTCCCTGCAGCTGAAGCACTTGCCTCCTCACAGTCGTCTGCTCGCCGAGACCCACTACCACGTTGCTACAACGCTTTGCTACATGGATCAGTACAACCAAGCCATCCAGCACTACAACAGTTCCATAAAAGTCATAGAGACCCGTCTGGGTACGTGCTTCATTTTATTTATTTTTTTATAGAAGGGCTAAATACCAACCTTTTAGTTGCCAGCAGTGTATTTCAGGAAAACGTTTTTCTAATGATACCCGGCAGGTGTTTAACCTACAAACTTCTGTGTTTTGTGTTGCAGCCATGTTGCAGGAGATTATAGACGCAGCGAAAGATGCTGCAGCAGCAGAGGAGAAAAACGAGATGGAAGAACTGAAGCTGCTGCTTCCCGAGATCAGGGAAAAAGTGGAAGATGCCAAGGAAAGTCAGAGAACAGCCAGTGCTGCCTCACAGGCAATCCAGCAAACACTGGTGCGTGCACACACACGTGTCGGTGCACGTCCACCTGAAAATATGTGAATTTCATTGGAAGTTTCTGTTTGTAGCCATGTTTGTGTCAGTCGAGTTGTGTAAGGATGCTTAACTCCGTGGTAACGAACTAATGTCTAACAGGGGACTGCCTCAACTTCATCAGCATTCCTGTGTGAAAATGGTGGCCCTTCATCATCCTCATCCTCAACGGCATTTGCAACAACCAGCCAGGTAATGATGCAGATTCAATCATCAATGTGCAACCAAATAAAAACCAACTTAAACTGGACTTGTGTTTCAGATTCCAGTTAAAACCCGTGACGGCACCTCCTCTTCCAAAGCGTCTGACATCTCTCATCTAGTGAGGAAAAAGGTAAAATGTTAAACCATTTTATTTATTCTGTGTTAAATCAATAGAATGCCTTGTGCTGATTGGACTGTGCAGTTTTACGTTGTGGTCATTACGGATTTTATCCACCAGTCTTTTGTGTGAGTGTTGTGGATTTTGTGACTTGTCATTGAGTTTGACCTGTTGTGTTCTGGTGCAGCGTACTGATGGAAAGTCTGGGCTGACTTGTTCGTTCGTTTGTGCGTAATCTGGAAAAAGTGATCCTTGCTTCAGTTGACTCCTTGAAATCAACATGGAATGGTTATGGATGCTTTAGTTTTCCCATTATTCTCTTGTGCCCTGGTTTTTGTTTCTGCACAGAGAAAACCAGAAGAGGGGAGCCCAGTAAAGGACACAGGTGCTAAACAACCGAAACGGGAAGCAACAGTTAATGGCAGCGGTGAATCTAGTGCCAGCAACAGGAATGAGATCCAGGAGGGCAAATCACAGGCTAGTGATGGGCCGTTTTTTATTATTTTTATTTGCAGGTCTTTATTTGTTAATCTAGAGAGCCTAGATGTTCAGAGTAGTTCTTTGCTTTTGGAGGAGTTCCATTATGAGCTACAAGTAGCAGTTAATGAAAATCTTTTCAGAGAAAGATGTTTCTGTTGTGTTCTGCAATTTCCCTGCATTTTAATCTGGGGTGCTACACTTAATGAGATGTGTCAAGTACTAGAGAAGACTGTAATATGATTCTTGGTTTTGAGGATTTTTTACATTAAGATTGGTTTGGTGTATGATGCTACGTGTGCAGTTAGCTTTAGTTAAAGGTTACCTTGGCGTAACCTAAAGTGAGAAACTCCTTCAGTTAAAAAAAAAAAAAAAAATGCAGTTATAATAATAAATGACAGCAATCACAAAGTAGTGTCATTTTATCTTGGTAAAAATTGTCTTGCAATCATAAATGTTAGTCTGTTTGCTGAAAGGTGGGTGAAACTTTAAAATCAAGACTTGTCATCCATTGAACCTGACGTTAATCTGTTTTTTTTTTTTTTTTTTTTTTTATTTCCTGCAGCCTGCCACCCAGTCAGCCTCCGAGTCCTCAACATGACCATCTTCTTCCCAGTCTTGAGTTCTGAAACCAGCACAGCATGCCCGTCGATCCCCCACAACTTAATTCACCCGTTTCTGTAAATACAACACATTTTCACAGATTTGTCTGTCAAGTTTTGTATACTTGTAGTAAAAAAAAAAATTTAAATAAAAAAAATTTGCAGATGTAAATTTGCAGTTATTTTGCTCTTTAAGGGGCATGAAGCTGAAACCAGTTTTACCACTACAACCAGGTGCCCTCTTTGACTGAATCTGACTTCCTTCCATCCATCCATTATCTTCCCATGCCATGCCATACCATCTTTACCCGCTTATTCCATTTTGGGTCACGGGGGTCGCTGGTGCCCATGTCCAGCAATCACTGTGCGAGGGGCGGGGTACACCCTGGACGGGGTCGCAAGTCCATCACAGGGCCACATAGAGACAAACAACCATTCGCTCTCTCATTCACACCTAGAGACAATTTAGAGTTACCAATCAGCCTAATGTGCATGTTTTTGGTCTGTGGGAGGAAACCGGAGCATCCAGAGAAAACCCATGCATGCACGGAGAGAACATGCAAACTCCACCCAGAAAGGCCCCTGGACCGGGGTTTTGAACCATGGACCTGCTCACTGAGAGGCAGCAGCTCCACCAGTTGTGCCACGGTGCTGCCCCCTGAATTTGACTTGAGTGACTTAATTCTTGAAGATCTAATCAACAAGCTGCGCTCTACCCCCCTCTAGTGGCCAGAAAAGGATTTGAAACTAATGTTGCTGCTTGTTTCCTAATGCTGTGGGTGCAAATGTTTAATAAAAAGTTAAATTTAAAAATCAAGGCTTAAAAAAACTGAAGACTTTGTGGCCCAGGGCTGCTCCCCCCATGCTTATGTAGCTGATTGCTGTGGGGGGGAGGAAGAAGAGTAGGACTGACTAGGCTTGTAAATGGACTGCGCTTGTAGCACTCATTACCCATTCATACTGCACTCTACTGTATGTACAAAGATTAATCAGTGCTTTATCACGTATACTGATGGGACACACACCAGAGGCAATGAGGGGTTCAGTGTCTTGCCCAGGGACACTTCGGCATGTGACTGCTGGTGGAATCGAACCCCCAGCTCTTGTATTGGAGGATGACCTCTCTATCCACTCAGCCACAGCCGCCCACTTGTCAGAAACGGTTCAGGGTTTGTTCCTCGGTGTCTCTGCTGCTACAGCTGCTGGTTTTAAGTGTTGTGGCCACGGTGCTTGTCATAAAATGTCATCGCAGAAGGCTCTGTGACCCAGCTGATGCCCACTTGCTTTAAGAACTCGTTTATAAAAAAGATGAATTTATGCAGTGACATATTACACACGGAACAAACTGATTCATTGCTTCCTGCAGACATTAAAACATGCCATCTTCTTGTACCTGCTTAAAACATGCCATCTTCTTGTACCTGCTTTCAAATGAAGTGATCTATGACTGGAAGTGAGTTGTTACTGGATTTATTAGTGAAGAGTTTTACAATCACTCGTCTTCCAATTGATAAGACCCAATAGGTTTCTGTCATCCTGCTATAGTTTTTGATTTATTTATTTGAAGGCATTGATTTTTATGCCTCTTGAGCTGAGATGCATGCATCATTTTAATCTCTTCTTTTCTAATAGTTGGTCCAGTCGATTTAAATGATGCGTGTTGGTAGTGGGCATGAAGCATCCTGAGGCAAGAACAATGTGGGAGATGAATTAATCTGAAGCCTGAGGGGGTGCTGCTCAAACTGCCCCGTTCCAATACCTGCAGTTTTGATCACTTTGGATAGGGGCTGAAACCACCAATACTTTTTTGGGTGGCCATATTTGGTCACTTCGTACCAGTTTGTCTTGGCAGAAGGATAAATTAACCTGGAGTCTTTTGGATTTTTTTTACAAGTTTTTCAATAAAAATTGATGGGTGGGATTTTGGTTTCAGTTACCGGTAGTCTGATTTCCTCCATATACTACCTTTTATTTACTTTGTCTTGATTTATAAATCTAGCTATTTAATCAGGCCATGAAAGGCTTGAATTGCAGAAAAACGTGTCTAAAGCAAACTTCTGTTTGACTTGTGATTTGTTCACAATTTAAAAAAACAAAAAAAAAACTTTAAGGTCTGTGTTGAACAAAAAAAATTTTTTTTTTTTTTAACATTTTGGTGACTTTCCAATTTCTGTTGTCTATAGCTATCATCTATCTATATATTTATCATCTATATATCCATATATATTTATAAATGTGTATGTTTGTGTAACATGCATACAATAGAGAGATATGGATGAATGGAATTTAAAGGATTGACCCATTTCTCTTACACATTTGTTTTCCAGTTTCCCCAGAAAACATTTGTCTTTGCTCTGCATCAAGTCAATGGGCTTTAGTCGTTTGTGTCTACACCTCCAGCTTTGTTCCCTCCAAAGGTTCAGGGCTGCTTCTTCACATCTGCTGGTGGCCCACTGCTCCCAGTGCAAAGCACTGCTTTGTTTCCTGAGCATCCTGCTGAAGATGAACTGCAGGCTTCAGTTCCTGCAGATCAACAGTCTGCATCTGGTTCTGACAAAAGGCAGTCATTTTAGAGTAATAATCATATAAGCTGACATACAGTAGCTGATAAAATAGACAAAATACTACCAAAGAAAATACTATCCTGACTGAACTGTAACTTTTAATTTAAACTCTAAAAAAGTAAATAAACTTTTTTATGCTATTGAAGTTTTTGAGATGTTTTCAGCACATCTGTTTTTATTTTAAGCCAATGTTTCATAAATGAACATGTCAGATTGCTGCTATTACAACCAATTTAAAGTTCTTGGACATGTGTGACCTTTGTGTCCAACATAAATGGAGATATTATTTCCTCATGTTCCACAGTACATGGTGACATTTGATTAGTTAGAATGATCACAACATAAGTGCAGATTGATTATTTCAATCTGGCTCCAACTCCATCAACAAAACAAAGTGTGACTTATTTATGGCAAGTGAGAGGGAATTTAAATGTTCCTTTCGTGACTAATTAAATCAACTAAATGTTTACAACTTAATGCAATATACAAAAATCATCTATCAAACGGTTCCATCAACAAAATGTGCCAGTTGTTCTAAAATGCAGAGCTGCAGTCTGCAGATATCACAAAAGACAAAAATAAAAACCGACCATCAGGGAAAGGAGCTCTGACATTCGACCTTTGCCTCAGCTGATTCTGTGGATTTGCACATGAGCGCGCTCCATATAGCAAGTGCAAAAGATTTTTCATCAAATGACATTTTCGAACTTTTAAATTAAGTTGTGTAAATTCTGCCACTTAAAAAGCAGAAAGTTATAAACCACAGCAGCTAAAAATGAGTTCTCCGAGTAACATGAATGTATTTAATCATTTAAGTTCAACCTGACCTGGCTTTAACAATTCTTTTCTGAATCCGTCCTTCTTTGTGCATGTAACGTTTAAAGCTGCTTCCATAAGACAGACGTGCTGTTGTTGCTGCTGAGAAGCTGAAATATTCAACATCTATAGCTGCACTTCTGACAGAGAGAAAGAGCAAGTTGAGGACTTGAACTCCTCTCTTCTCTCTCCCACTTTCTCCTCTCCATCTCTGCAACATATACTCCTGACAGTCTGTTGCTTAGCAACTGTAAAATAAAGCAGTGGGCTCCGAAGTCAAAGCGAGCGTGAGAGGAGAGGAAGAGAGTTCACAAGTACTGCAATAGATTCCTGTTTGCTTGGCTCTTGTGAGCCCCGCGCATCCCTCGGTACCCATCTGTGGGTCTGTGATGACTTGTGACTTCTGGTTTTCGGACAGCCGGCCAATCAGCTTTGGCTGTGATGCGGGCTCATCAGTTCCCTAGGCTACCTGTGTGATTGACACTCAGCCTCCTGCAGCGGAGCGCGCGACAGTGTATCCTCGATGCTCCTGCTTCCCCTGAGAGAGAGTGGAGAAATCTGTGAGAGAAGAGAGACAGAAACAACACGAGAGCAAGAGGAATGCTAATTATTTAAAGTCCTTCGGTCTTTTCCTTCTGCTCTCTTTACTGGAAAGATGAAAGCTGGAGTGCAGGAAGAAGCCGGCTAAAGGCAGAGGAGAGGAAGGATTCCCAAAGAAGAGGGGTTTGCTGGTAAGAGATGCACTTTTCTCTCTGTGTCCTGCCTTCACCAGCCACCTGTCCTTGTCACTGAATCATCCAGCAACCATACATTCTGTATGTGTGGGGGTGAGACAGACAGATTTTCTGCATGCTGCGTGCTTAGAGAAGTGGCTTGATAAGCTTGAAACCTACATCACATACAAAGCCTGTATTCCAGTCCCAGTCATGCTTTTTGCTTTAGCTGAGTCAAGAGCTGCTCCCCTATATGAGAACATGGGAGCCGGAGGGATTTAATTGAGCTCTATCAGTCACTGCAGGGATACAGTTACAGCTTAGGCCAGGATTTCTAGGCTTGTCTACAGTATCTGCATAAGAGGAGGAGTATTAATTACATAACACTTCGTCTATACCTTGTGTCGGGGCTGTGCAGCATTATGTTGTCCCATTAGTCGAGGAAAGCTTGCCTTGCTTTACGCAGATGCTTCAGATTGTTTTGTGTTGAGGAATGTTTTATGATCAGTTAAAAAAAAAAGTTTCTGTTTCTGAGTGCTACATTTGAGAACACTGGCTACAGATTCATGAAGTTCGCGTCGCTCCAAGTGTCTGGCATGTGTGATGTGTCAGATCATCAGGACTTCCTAAAACCTCCATTAGTTGGTTTGGGTCGGGCGACAGTCGGCCTCTCTTTGCCCTCGAGCCCCAGTTTCGCACCCTGGGGACTCGGCATTCTGCTCGGCTGCTCTTATGCCAGCAGTCGTCTTTCTGAGCACCTGAGGGCACCTCGAAAGCTTTTAGATGAAGTGTGAAAACTTTGAGCAGCAAGAAGGATTTTTTTTTTTTTTTTTTTTTTTTTAAGTTCTGTTTGGGGTTCTTTGACTTCTTTTGGGAATTTGTAAGAAAAAAAATTTGGCTACAGAAAAAGGCGAAGGCATGTGCCTGTGCGTTACCTAAA